ACAATCTGTTAGTAAAGGTGCCTTCTGAGAAACTGAAGCTCTAAAAGCAATGAAGTCCTACAGTTCTGTTCACAAGTCAATGAGAGTGAAATTTGGCTTTTAAAAAGCAATAATGGGGGTGAATGTTGGGAAGCATCTCACAAAAGAAAGGAAATTCAAAACAAAATTACAAAAAGATGAGAAAGGTATCAAAAAAGCGAAATAGACTGAAGATGTAAAGTATAATTTATATCTCTCTGATATTCCTCTCTACCTCCCAAAACTTATTCTTTAAAACACTCCTTTCTGACCTGTATTATTATAAAGCAAAGCTCAATCCCCGTCTGATCACTAAAACTGAAACACCTGGAGAGTCACACCTCGCCCTATAATCTGTTAAAAGAGCCCCCAGTATGCTATAAAGAGGTGGTTAAATAAAATAAATTTAATTAAAGTTTATAATCAACAAGTAACAATTTATTTATCTAACTCTAACAATGAACAAATTAACTAAACTATTAACAAACTGAATAAATCCTTTCTAACTACTAACCATTCCTGAATAAAACAAGATTTTAGTGGTAACAAGGTGTAGAGCTGGATGAACACAGCAGGCCAAGCAGCATCAGAGAAGCAGGAAAGCTGACTTTTCGGGTCTGTGGTTTTAGTGGTTTAGTAGATTTTAGTGGTATGCTGTTCCAGTAAATACAAATCCCACTTATCTAAACCAAAATAAAAAGGAATAGAATTTAGTCTTTCGGAATGACAGTCAGTTTACATCTGCCAGAATGTTCTGTGTCTTCTCCGATGAATTCTTCTGTCAGGAATGCCTTCTCTGTTGAATTCTTTTGTCAGGAACATTAGCTATTTGTGCCATAGGTACCTGTAATTTAGATGGAGCTTACTCCAAGGCTTAGAGAATTCTGTGAGAGCCACTGATTCTTTCTTTTAGAGCTGAAAGCTATTCTCTTGGAAGATGGCAGTTGGCTCTCCCCTGATTTTCCAAATGCCCTCATCTCTTATACACTTGATGACATATCAATTTCTTACAATAGGATTGGTCCTATGTTGTCAAAACCAACAGATTTAAATTTAATTGGTTTTGGTATCTAAGGGCCTGGTTTAAATTAATTGACTAAATACAAAAACCTGTTGTCTTGGTAAAAATGTTGCTTTGCTGCTAACAGTATAGCCTTTAAATACAAATGTTTCAATTCAGGTGCTCTGTGCGCCTGCAAATCCACAGACATCCTTTTTGAATCTCTAAGAATAGAAAAAACAATGATCTTTTAAAGGCACCATGCACTGCTTTCCCCATAGCATTTTACAAAGACCAACACTTTCACAAATACCAAATTCTAACTTCATGGCTTCCAATCCACAAGTACTCTACATAACTTCGCAACAGTATTTTGAAGCAAACACTTAGGATGGAATGTTACCCTTCTTGGAGGTGGTGAGAAGGCGAAATAATTGGACAGGTTGACCTTGGATAAGTATTCATCCCCTTCCACTACTTCACCAATTACGTTCATACAATCAAAGAATCCCTACAATGTGGAAGCAGGCCATTCAGCCCATTGAGGCTGCACCGACCTTCTGAAGCACTTCCCACCCACACCCACCTCCCTTCCCTATCTCTGTATTTCTCATGGCTAATACATATAGCCTGCACATGCCTGGGCACTATAGGCAATTTAACATGGTTAATTCACCTAAACTGCACATCTTTGGACTGTGGGAGGAAACCGCAGCACCCGGAAGAAACCCGCACACACGTGGGGCAAATGTGCAAACTCCATACAGTCAGTCACCCGAGGGCAGAATCAAACCAGGGTGCATGGTGCTGTGAAGCAACAGTCATAACCACTGACCCACTGTGAGCTATCAGTGCTAACCACTGAGCCGCCGTGAGGTATCAGTGCTAACCAC